CTTTGTTTCGGCTGAAGCCATTTTTCTGGGAGCAAAGTTGGCCAGATCGTGAAGGTGACCACTAAACTGTCTAGCCTTAACATTACGCCACTCCTTCGTAGCACGCCGGTGAATCATTGTCTTTCGCCATTTTACACGTCTTTTAAAAGGTGGTGCATCAGGAGATTGACGACACGTAAGAATCTGTCACATTCTCCGCAGCAAACTTCCTGGCTAGGTTGATTCAGAACAAGAACGGAAACTGGTTGCGGCTGCAGATGCAACGCTGTGTCCATAAATAACTTCTGTGAAATATCGCGAACGGAACAGAAGCTGTGCATCCAGTAGTCAAGGGATAGTCATCTATATGTGCGTTTCATAGAAGCCAGAACTGTCAACTTTCAGCTTAAAATTTGTTGCCTGTTTGATGCAATAGTACCGTAGTATCTGAGAACGGAAAGTGGAGAAGATTTCCAGTTATCCACATTAATGACAGAAAAGTAAAATTTAAAAAAAATCTTTTGTAAGCGCTGTCACGAAACGAGATAGATTTTCATTTTGTTTTTGGCCCATTAGTGACATGTCTTAGTAGAATTCTGTAATGAAAAACTTGTCCGATGCTAACATTATTTATAATGTAATTGAGATGTATATCGCGAATAAATGTTGGACCTTTTGGTAAGAGAGAGCGAGAAAGAGATATGATTAGTGAAAAACACTCCTGTAATCTCTCAACAGTTAAAACTATATTTTAGATTTGAGCCATGTAAATTATGTATTACGGTACTAATGAGAAACTTTATTTAACGAAAAGCATCGCATGGAAGGGGTTACATTTTTAGGTTAAATTAATACGAAAAAAAGTTTCCAATTTTAATAATAACCCACAGTGTCCGATTTTATGACAATCTGCTGATTTACATGCTGTTGCTATGCGCGTTTGTGCTCTTCTGAAGTCCCTTCTAGCAAAAATTTGGTTTAGTGCGACCGCGTTGTTCTAACAAGTACTCTCAGCGCTCCACAGAAAGTCAGTCTCTCGAGACAAATATCTGGACAATATCTTGAAATAGGTCACAACTCTGTATATATGTTCATGGTCCAGCCTCATTCGACGTCGTATGATTGATCTCTGTAGCCGAAGTGTTCTAAGGATCTCGAATCAGCTCTGGCATTCAACGCTTTTGATAAAATATCGTTAAAAGCCAAGACCAGGTGCCCCTTGATTAGACCATGAAACGCGTTAAGGCATAAGCCACCAACACATTTGTGTCTGAAGTTGGATTACCGAACCAGCGTCTTATCATGGCGTGGCAGTTCGCCAGGTCACCGAAACACTTCAGCTTTTGTCATTCTGCCAACAGTTTTCTGGGTTTACAGCTCTAGAATTATAAACAGTTTCGGGATAAGTTGGGTGAAATTTTTACCCACAAAAATTACATTTGCGCCGGTTGTCATGGCTTTCGTCTGTTGGACACGGTTGAGTGTTGCATGGTATTTTCTAGTCCCCGGCCTGGATAAGCTATTCTGGTTGAGGTATTTTGTAGTTTTTCTCAGTTTCTCCAGTGAAATGTTAGGTTTGTCATAAAAATGTCATTTTCGTTCGTCATTCGCCGTTATATAATTGAGTAATGAGTCGTCTTATTGTTTATGTATATCAGAACACGTTTGTAGGATGACAAAGTGGAGGTACTGTAGCCAGAGCAGAATGTGACAAATTAGTTTTTTTATTAACAGAACCCGAAGTTTTAATACAGCTGATAACTCTGGTTGCTATACACGAAGATAGTTTCATCCAATGTCCCACCTCACCTATAAGCTCCATCTTAAAAAGTCAGGTTTTCCAGGAGGCCGCATTCCACCCAGTTCGGTAAGCATTTCTTATCTCTCACATCCTAACTGCATGGCCAGCCCTCTCTTAATCTTGTTGATTTCTTTATCCCAACAATATTTGGCGACCTGTGCAGATCACGTAGTTACTCGCTGTGTAAATTTATGTTAAAATGTCCTCACTTCATTCATCCTTGTTGTGTCCAGAAATGTTCCCAAAAAACTCCGTTTTAAACCATTTATTTATGATATTCATTCAAAAAACACTGCACGATATGACACAACTTCTGGCGTGAGCTTTCTTTGCGGTGGTCACGAACATGGATACCGCATCGTAAAAAAATTGTGGACGCTCGCGAATGACGTGTTCGCCGGTACATCACAGTCGATCATAAACCATCTCGTGTATCTTGTTCCTTCCAGGAAATGGCGGCGAGTGTACAAGTTGTCTTTTCCATCTTATTTTCTCCCACCGAATATGGCGTCTTCCGTCTCATGGTCTTGGATTTCCAGTACTGATCCTTGTTTAGTTCAGCGACCTGTCTGTCAACTCACGTTCATTTTTCCCATCGGTGGTAGCCCTGCCTGAACTGAACAGAGTACAGTAATTCTGCACACGTAGCACGGAATTCGCTGTGGCTTGCTGGTTATTCACAGCCACCCAGAATCACATACGGTATGGACCACATAACGAGACCTCGATTAGTCTCTCATAGTACAATCATGGTAGTAATAATTCTAATTTTAATGATGACGAGGTTAATAACAAAAAACAAGCAGACTAATAGTGTTGAGAATTAATAAAATAGTGCGAGAAAAATCTGAAGGCTCCACTCCGTTGCGTACGATTCTGAACTAATTTCATCTATCTTCACAACCACTTAAGGTCCATGTTAATGACATCATCTTCGTGGTTTTCCAATTATACATTTTTACATGCGGTTGCCCACTTTCCTTGCCTCTCGGTCTAGCTTATTGTTGCCTCGAATACTTTATTGTTCTAACAGTATTACAAAAATTAAGTCGTGGAGTTTTGTTTCTATGCATTATAGTTAGTCGTTGACTTCTTTCTTACATACAAATATTTTACTAAACACTTTCTTAAACGCTTGTAATTGATGTTTTTCTCTCTAAGTAAATTTTACTCTAGTATAAAACAGCTGACAAAATTATCATGTGGTTTCAAGAGACATTAAAGTGTTCCATTGATTCATTACACAAGATTTTGGTGCTGAAATCAAAGGAGGGTTAGATGAGAGAAATCCATTCAAAATTTTAGCCGTGATATCTGAAGGGAATAGAAAAGAAGCTGGGTTTGAGGTTATTATTAGTTTAATTGGTCTCGTGAACACTAGTGGAATTATGGGTTTCATAAAAGCAATGATTTTTTTCGAGGACTAATATGTCTTAATGTTATTGTTGGATTATGCATTTCATCTACTACTAACTGACCAGCAACAATCTTCATCAAGGCCTGGATTTTTGTAAGAAATGGATGCGAACGTATTTGAACAGCGCGCGTGCGCATTGCGTTCTGAGTGCCATTACAAAATGGATGAAGCCGATGTTGCGCAGAAAATGCATTTGTCATAAGTGAAGGACGAGCTGTTTTCTGTGTTAAAACGCTCAGCCCTCGGACGAGGAGTGGATCTTCGTCGTAGCGAAAATTCCTGAAACAGAAGTTCGTAAATCGTGGGATAGATGTAGTTGTTAATCACAAAAATTCTACTACTGCATTGGAAATAATAAAGGCAATGAAATACACTGAAACAAGAAACAGTGTGTGAGACAGTCCACTGTAAACTTCGCTTTAGATGGAAGTAAATTGTTTGTTCGGAAAGTCCGTGCGTTACGTAAGAAACTTTCGCAGAGAGAGTTAGTTGCATGTGTCAGCATGTTGGGATCTTCAAATGTTGGCAAAGTGTTTGCATAGTAATTACTGTCTTTTTCTTATGCCCTTGCAGAATATAGGCTATAATTTGAATGTAAAGTGAAGGTCGCGCCTTTGTGATACATTGCTAAGCGATAGTAGTCTCGCCGCATGATCAAAGCCTAGTTAACCTTGTACAGTATGTCCCAAGAAGAAGTACACATACATTCAGTAAATTAAATAAATACATTTTAATGAACCAAACCATTACATACGTCAGCATTGTCACTTTGTGATTTTGCGAACTTGGTGTATGTGTTCTAAATGACCACCGTCCGGAGATCTATAACAAAGTTAATATTGTAGGATTTGGGGTTTTCACGGCGGTGAGTCTGAAGATTTCTGTCTTCTGGGTTGTTGCGCCGTGTAGACTACACGGCACAACAACCCAGAAGACTGATATCAAAAGGTTAATATTCCATATTATGGTATGTATACGTGTTTTTGGGACCCCTGTATTTGGCGCCAGTGAAATCACGATTTCTCTTGAATGCTTCGATAGTTGAGGCTTCTACGAACTGCATGCAGCGCGGACCCTTTCTTTGACGTGTTTCATGTGGGTATTGATTGACAACTGAAATTTGCTCCAGTAGAGGTGAAAGTAAATTCTTTAAAATTGTTTTTTCTTCATTAATTGTTATGTATCTCGGCGTGTATTTTTTTCTCTACATCTGTTATTTATACATTGTCTGCTGGAGGCAAATATAAAAGTTAATGGAGGCAGTCTGTCTTCTGAAAGGAAAGATAATCATCTTAGCACGATGCCTTGTTTTATTATCTTGAATCCCCTTGACCGATTTAACCAAATTGGGTGGGATTAGCAGTACATTAATAGGGGAGTGGCATTACTTGTTGAAACACAGAAACAAAAACCTTGTAGAATAATAAAAATAGCCGTGGCCTGATATACCAGCAGCAGTAATTTTGATTGATAATTAAATGTCTGAACTGACAAGATTTAAGATGTTGTCAATGTCATCGAGTTTATTTTCGAATATGGCTGTCTTATTGGAAAAAGTGTAGTCTGGTAGAAATCTACCAGCGTTTCGGGGATCCTTGCTGCCTCCATCATCAGGGCGATGAGCTTATTTTCTTTTTTGTATACCATGAATTAATTGTGCGCAGATTGGATAACAAAACAGATTATGACTTAACGAATAACGGTGCTCTGAGAGGGGAAGTATTATTTTAATAATAGCTTCGTCTGTCTTTCCATTAGGCATGATTTCTGATGGCATTTATGACTGTAGACTTACTGTTGCAGGCACATAGTGGGTATCACAAGCAATGCCAGTATCAATAACCTGACCTGGCTACAGCGACAGCAACAGAAACTCAGAGAACGGAAAGAAGTGCAGATGCGAACAGAGCGATACCCACAAGAATCACGTCTCATCACCGAACTCCGGACCATCCAGCAGCACAGCTACAATCGCGTGCTTCGTCCTTCAGCGAGCCACCGTGCTGATGGCTACACTAGTGACACTACGCACTTTGCAGATGAAGACGACGATCAAGAAGACTTCACGATCCCACTTCACATCAATACAACCACATCACCAACACACAAACTGAACAGTGTTGGATCTGCCCCTGCATCACCGTTACTGCCAAATAGGACGTCCTCCAGAAGATACTACGGAACTAGCACAACACCCAATCTTCAGTCATCATCTGCATCTTATCTGAGTGGTGGGACTGGTTTTCTTGGTCGTCAGAAGTCTGATTCTTCTTTTGACAGAGAGAGACCATTTGTCGCAGTTAAGAGGGCTCATGAACAAAGCAGGAAGTTCAAAGGACTGCAGGTGAGCTCTAGGTATTCAGCATGTGCGTCTTTCACATGACAGACCTAGTAACATAAATTTATCTTCTTTTATTGGTTCTGGAAAATATTTTCGTTTAAGAAGCGTAGAGCGGGGTCCGCGGTGGCCGCGCGGTCTGAGGCGTCGGTCTCGTGCCGCTTGGTCGCAGGGACCGTGGGTTCGAATCCCACTCAAGCCATGGATGTTTGTCCACGTTGTCCTGTGTACAGGTAGAGGCCTTGCGACGGGCCGATCCCTCGTCCAAGGAGTCCTACCAAAATGTCTATAGATCAAGCCAACTGAAAAGTTGGGGACCCGTAAAGTGTACCGGAAAATTTACAAACATTGTTAAACCGGAAAAATAAGAAGAAGGAGCATAGAGTACATGGTAGGGTATTAAATGAATGAAGAAATTCACAATTTGTGTAGATCACTTACAATTGGGTTATCCTACTGGAAATGGGATATTAAATTCAGTTAACTAGGTTTTATTTCACAGTTGATTGTGCTCATTACTAGATTAGGAGCTGGTTTTAATTATACCATGAACTTGTCCAAACATGGAGATGGCGAATATCTTTATAACAGCTGGTGTGTGTTTCTAAAACCAGTCTCTGTGTTCTTAGTTGTTTTATTTCTACAGCATTAGATTACCCGATGTATCTGTCATCATTCATTAACTTATGAACAAGGTCACAGAATGGTAATAGAAGTATCTGTGATTAATAGTAAGTGTGTGACTCAACAACACAGAATGCCAAGAGAGAAAGTTTGTTCAGGAAAGTTGGTTATCGTTTATACGTAAATGATTACCTTTTTGTTTCATAATAAGTTTAGGCACGTGACACTTTGATAAGTTCTGTGCTTATCCATCACACATCTGCCATTTAACCTTTTATTCCACTATGTTGTGCCTCCGGTGTTTGATATTGAATAATATCAGTTGGTGACGATACAGTGCTGTAAACTTTGCCAAAATAGCCGTCCCCCTTCTTGCAACCTTAGATCAGTTTACATACTTTGCACTGGGATACTGGGGACGACCCGTTCTTCAAGTGCCTCAGCACTGCGGGTCCCAAACTTTCGTTGGCTTGATCTATAGACTTTTTGGTAGGACTCCTTGGACGAGGGATCGGCCCGTCGCAAGGCCTCTGCCTGTACACAGGACAGCACAACACAGAAAAACGTGGACAAATATCCATGGCTTGAGTGGGATTCGAACCCACGGTCCCAGCGACCAAGCGGCACAAGGCCCGCGCCTCAGACCGCGCGGCCACCGCGGACCCCATACTTTACACACTTAAAATTAATATAACCGAGTTGTACTCTGTACTTTTTTTCTCTCCATCAATACAAATAACAATGGTTTTTTTTTAAGTTTGTTTTGCTTGGGATACCAGTTCTTTGACTTTCTCAGGGATGCTTAGAATTTCTCAAGGCACTTTTCACTACCAGGGCTTCTACTGTGCCTCTAAACTGTACATATTCCCTCTCAACAGAGTCCCCCTACATCCCCTCAGGCAGTGCTGGCTGCTCACCCCCTGGGTCTTGCCCTGACACATCATGGTGAGCTTAGTAACAAAGAGCCACAGACTGACTCTGCAGGCCTTCTTACAATGGTGGAGGAACAACGACAACACCAGCAGCAAATGACCACACTAAGGCGTGGTGCTGGAGGAGGGGTGGGTAGAAGTGCTACTAACACCACAAGCAACAGCACCAGCAACAATAATCACCAAGATGCATTGGCCAGCCTCATAGCTTCCCTAGCCGCTACTTCTGCCCCTGTATCTGCTTCTAGCAATACTAACAGTACTGCATGGCAGCAACAGGTGATGTACATTGTGCTCTTTTCAAGCTAACATGGTCAGAATGTTACAGAGATGTGAAGTATAGGCAATCACGGTGGCTGTGCAAGTTCTGTATTGAATGTCTGTCTTCGTCATTCAGTATCAGTCGTCAGCATGTGACTCACATAGTTAATGAATGGAACGTTGTGAATCTTCTAATTTGAATATATATTTTATGTTTGTGTCACAATTACAGATGTAAAATTTGGTAAAGAATTATATATTATAACTATGCCATGCCTGAAGGTATTTTGAATTTTATTTACAGAGTATTTCACCATTTAAGACAATTTTGACAGTTTCAAATCATCATAAGGATAAGTAGGAATAACTCAGTTGACAATAATGACATTCTGTCTTGTGTTTACCTTGCCAAGAAAATAACACTGAATCCCTTTTAGATATGATGCAGCATGTCCGGCCTGTGTTTACCTGCAAAATGGCAGGTTACAATACACATCATGTATGTGCATGGGAATTTGTATAACTGTGATTAACTGAGTCCAGAATTTTATAATTCAAAACCACTTCATTCTTTTATCACATAAGAAACAATAGGGATATTTTATAATTGATCATTTGCAGTTGGCGACAGTAATTTTTCTACTTTCAGTACCTCAAAACAGTAAACAGAACTAAAAGTAACTGAGTCAGGTTCATGACTCACACAGATGAAAAGTGGTAAAATTATTCTAAACCTCTTATACATCTTGAATTTTCTCTTTTTGCTTGTCATTTTAAAATTTATAATTCAGAGTTGCATTTGGACACAGAGTGACATAACCTCAATATGTTCTCCAGCTCTGAAGCAGAGGTTCAAGATCATGGTGACAGTTTATCTCAGTACTAATATGACTTCCTGGTCAATCTTAGAGTCTTATATCTTATACAAAATATACTTTAATATAAAATGAAGATCAAATATGGAAAATGCTGCAGTTAAAATTATTCCAATATTGTTACAGAAACTGAAATAGCTGAAAGCTGTCCTTGCAGACAGTACTTACTTTGAGCAAGAATTTATCTAATTTTATAGTTTCCTGCAATTGTGTATTGAAACCTTTGACTGTAAATTATTATACTCTGCTACACTTATCTTAAACATGTGTATAAACTGTTAAAAGCATGAGAATGTGTTACTAACTGCTTGAGATTCAAGTACATTTCCACTCAGTTCACAGCCAGAAATAAATACTTTGTACATATGTGTAAATAAAGAGTAACGTGCCCTTCTCTTGTGCTTATATTTCTAATGTGAATGATTTTAATTTAAAGTGCTGAAAGAGTAATCTCCAAAACTATATCAAGCTCAGATATTTTGCAAAGTCAGAATTATATTTTTACTTATATACTGCGTTTTACATATTGTGAACCTTTGTATTTGTATTCACTGTGATAACATGCTACATAATTAATTTCCTTAAGTTTTCTAACTGAAAACACCAACAAAGAAAAATGAATTTGAACACAATATACCCAATTGATGATTAACATGTACAGTCATGGCATCAGCAGAATATCAGGTAGCGGTATGTACCTAAGTCAACTGTATTGGCTTTATGAATTTAAACATGCAGATGTAACTTTAAGATTCCTCAACCTGATCCAGGGTGATGGTAAACTTCATGTCATTTCTTTAAAGGCATAATTTTGAACTCTGAAAGCATTGATCTTTCTGTTACTGAATTTCAAGTTTCTTCACCTCATTTTATGGTCTTTTCACATTACCTATATTGCATTTTACAAAAGAATATCCTTTTTATGTGCGTATGTGACAAAATATCAGCTGTCAGCTTCTACAAATGAACAAATAATTTCAAGCTTTTAACATTTCTTCCACATACTGTGTTTTTGAAATTGTATTTTTCATTTCAAATGAAATTAATGTTTAATATAATAATTTCATACATATACCTGTGTATGCGACGTACGTTTACCTTCCTTCATTATTTTTAACTATTTGTCACTTAAAACATGCATTCCATGAAAGTTATTTTGAGTAAAAATACACGAAATTAAAACTAACCTTCGATCGACAGTTTTAAGCTCTGTGCTGGTCAAAGTCTGACACTGAGGAAATAAAATTTTGCTTCAAATTAAAAAATGTCAACTTAAAAAAATATATCGAAATTTAACTTGGTAGCTTGTCATATGCTCAGATTTATGTGCTTGAAAGGGAATTATCTATTCAAGTCTGTGCAATATCTACAAAACCATATTCCAGTCGAGTAACAGTCTCAATTCAACAATCTAAAAATTGAAAGTAAATTAGACCGTAATGGTTAACTTAAAGGTAATAATTAGAGACACTCTGACTTGAGACAATGGTTTTATGACCACAAAGGTTTTTTCTTTGCAATTTGTCATGAATTTTTACTGTTTTCATCACAACCACTTAATTTTTATGTGACCTGTCCAATTATTATTTACCTCTTAAAACTATTTCCAGCTTCATGCATTTAAAAGCAAGGCATCATTTATGATGGTTAATCTCAATTAATGCTACCTATGGATATTCCTTTTAAAACAAAATTTCTTATTTGATCAGTTGAGAGAAGACAGTTTCTCATCATGGCGAACAACTTCAATGAGTGATGAGACAGGAAGTCCTCCACGGTCAAGCAGCCCACGACCACAAACTCCAGCGTTTCCTGTACATCCCCGCACACCATATGTGAACAGCAGTTCACAACAATTCGATCCTCCAACATCCTCCACCGGGCTACCACCCAAAAGTCCTACAACACAGCGGTAAGTCTCTTAATTTGTAACGTTTTAACATCACATTTTACTTGATACTGGAGTGTGCACAGTAAAATTATTTTTAACATACAGTGGTGTTTTCTGCCAATCTTATTATGCTGATACGTAATATTAGTCATTTTATGCTCTTATTTTCATTTGCAATTTGGAAGTCTTGGCAGTATTGTAATGATTTTTTCATGCACCAAAATTACAATCACTTGAAAGGAAAACACTGTGATTTTATGTTTTATTTTATTTTTCATTTGAGTATGCATTAATTTGAGTATATATCTTTTCTCATCTCATTGGATAGTAATCTTGCCACAGTACTCTGTTGTGATTGGAAATAATAACTTCAAGGCATGTAAGATTTAAGGTTTCCACAAAACACTGTATACATTATAGACTTTTCTGGTTTGTAACACTGTATACATTTTGCATGAAGTTTCAGACATTTCAGAGAAACCTACTGCCTTCTCCTTTAGGATTTAAATTTCCTGAAAGTGGAAGCATTAGTTTCCTTCGAAACTGCAAAAGTTTTATCCAGAGCTAATTCGAAATTTTTATTTATTTTAGTTATAATGTGGGTATTTACACTACAAGTCACAAGCTTTACATGTATTATCTTATTACAGTAAAGATAAAAACAGATTATAAACATATTGATATTGAACTTATGTCCATCAGGTATTTGTTTTTGCCTAGTCTTCTCTCAGAAGCCAATGAAAACGCGCACGCACGCACGCACACCATATGCCATGTAGCTTAAAATTGATTTTCATATATTTTTTGCCATTTACTTTTACTCAGATTTCTTACTTGCTCTGGACCCAAAGAGGCCATTATTAGTGCTTCATTTACCAATATTAAATCATCAGTACGAGGTGCGAACGGAAAGTTTCCAGACTGCGCGTATAAAAAAAAACCGTACACTTATCTCAGGTATTAAATTCATCCATCACCCTCGAAGTAGTTCCCCTGGGAGTGAACACAACGATCCCAGCGCCGCTGCCAAGCCTGGAAGCATCCCTGGAAATCTTTCTTTGTCAGCCTGTCAAGCACCATCTGCGATTCTGCCTGAATCTCTTCTATCGTCTCAAATCTCCTTCCCTTTAGCTGAATTTTCATCTTTGGAAAGAGGAAGAAGTCACATGGAGCTAAGGAGGGTGCGGGATGACGGCCATGGTGTTTGAGGCCAAAAACTGCCGAACTTTGAGGGCGGTGTGCGCTGGCGCGTTGTCATGATGCGTCGCATGGGGAGTTCTTCCCTTAGAATCAGCTGACAGGTCCCATAGCCTATCCCAACAATGTCGCACAAGTCGTTGATGGTACGACGTCGAACTTCGTGAATGGCCTGCCGAATCTTCGTAACATTTTCGGGCGTTGTGCTCGAAGATGGCCGTCCAGAACGCTCGTCATCATCGCCAGAGGTTCGGCCATTTTTAAAACGTGAATGCCACTCAAAAGTTTGTGCACGACCCATTGCGGACTCCCCAAATGCTTGCTTTAGCATTTCATAGGTTTCCGTAGCCGTTTTGGCGAGTCTTTGGCAAAATTTGATGCACACGCCATTCCGAAATCGCAGGAGGGGCGGTGTAATGCACTACCAAAACGCCCGTAACTAAGAAACAAATGCTAATTCGATGATGCCGGCTGGCACACTGATTCACTATGAATGTAGGCCGCACCCCCTAGCGGCAGAAGCTCGTACTACATCCGGTTCGCCCTCTATTGACACAGTCTGGAAACTTTCCGATCGCACCTCGTATAATGTACAAAAGGTTAAAACTAATAAATTTTTAAAATTTTATATAAATTGTTATTTGTGCTTGGAATAAGAACTTTCATTTGAAAAGGCAGCTTTTGTTTAACAGTGTTGTAAAATGTAACTTGGCTCACAAATCTATCAGGAATATGAATACTGGATGACACAGAATTGAAATGTTTGTCGCAAATATATCATTATTTGACGGTTTTGAAATGTTTATTATTCCTGCCTTTAAGGTGACCTATGCTTTGAAATGTACAAAACTTGTATACAGTATTTCATATTTCTAATATTAATTAGAAGGTATTCATTGAATGTGATACGAATTTTCAAATATTTATAAATAATTACTAACAAAATACTTCTAGATTGTGGCTGATCAGATAGATTGTATAGTTTTTATTTGTCATCTTCAATTTAACTTTATTCTGTAAAAAATCTCTTCATCTGTTGTGTCTGTCTTTGAGGTCTACAGTTCTTTATTGGAGTTTAACAACACTGAAATTTGTTAGAAACGAACAATTATCTTCTTACCTTCAATGTTCCGATGTTCATAAAACACTGATATACAAATATCACCCCTCATACTGGCTATAATCACGTGATAACTGTCAAATGATTCAGTTTTGTACTTCAGTTTTTGTATCTATTTTTAATCAAGTCTTGCTTACTCTTTACTTATTTTCTTATCTGTACTCTTTAGATATTTTTTTTCTTGTCTGATTTTTCACATTTTTGGTCATTGTAGACGTTTGAGTAATTCGGGGTCGTTTAAAAATCTGCGAAAGTGGCCTTCCAACTCTTCTGTTTCTAGGTAGGTTGTGTATAGATGCACGTTGACAAGGTTTTCAGTGCACCCTAGAGATGTGGCATGTTTTTAATTTGTTTGTTGTCTCGTGGGTTTATTGTTATTACATAACTTGCTGAAAATGGCAAACATGTTCGTTACTAAATTCTTTTACATATGTTGAACGAAATAAAATTCAAATTATCCTGCTTAAAATAAGTGGATACGTTACTATATTTCTGACTCAAACTTGGTTCCATTAAGAATGCATGTGTTAATAACATGGTTTGTGTGCCTTATTAATATAACATAAACTGTATCAGAATGGACCAATCGTGTTTATGCGGTGTCTTTGATTTCTTTGTTTTGATTTCATAACTGCATGCGTATTTAACATTGGAAATGGTATATATTTTATTGATCCTGGACACTCCTTAATCTTCACATCTGCTGAGATTTATGCAGAGACATCGTCAAGTTATAGTGATCATAATACACGAAATTTGAAGTCTGATTAGCACCAGTTATCTAGCCAAAATTGAATGAAGGTTCGTCATTTATAAATGAGTTTTTCTGATGGTAAATTCAACTTATGAAGATGGACTACTTATACCTTCATAGGATTTATTTACTTTCAAATTATACTTCCAGAGTAAATATGCTTTTCAGATACTGACTTCAACCATGGCATTAAATTAAATATTAACGTAATATGAATTATTTATCAATTTGAAATGTAACCATGAAAGCAGAAAGTCTGTTATTTTGTGTATAATATTGTTTTATAAACAGTTATAAAGTACTTATGTACAGGTAGCCCTTGATTTACGCTGGGGATGCATTCCTGGATGAACCGGCGTAAATTGAAACTCCTTTATAATGTAAATCAATGGGAAGTCAATGACATGCGTTTCCAGCACCCAAATATTGACTAATAATTTAATGGCATTACATTTAAAGCTCTGAAATAACGTAAATAAAATAAAGGGAATTTAAAAAATATATTTTATACACTTACAATCGGCAATTTGTTGGTCCCCGCGATTGACTGCGATTCTTTTATGTGATTGATGTGTACAGTCATCTCTGCTGTTATGCGATAGATGGGAGTGCATCACACTCTGTTCATGTATTATACATGGAGAAAGTACCCCCAGAAGAAAAATCACTGCCGGGGATCAAACCCCAGTTATCCAGTATGTAGTCAGATACACAAAACTGATTGATTACCCTAGCTAATGTAATTGGCATAGGAACAGTAGTAACAACAACAATAATTTTTTTAAATGTATTAAGTCTTATAGGCAAAATGGCATGTTGAATTTTGTGTGGAAACTTGATTATATCTGTCATTGAATTTATATGTGAAATATAAGTGAATTTTGGCATGCGAAGGAAGTCATTTTGTGGACTGAATGAAGAATGTTGTAACATTGACGATAATATATTTTTCCTTAGGTGTTCTTATCCTGTAGTGATCTATGTGTGATTATTTATTTACTCGACCTTTATTCAGTTATGATGCATGTGTCCTGTATAAACACGGAATTGAGCAGCTGAGTGGATTGTTGTTGAACAGACATGTTGGATTATGAGTGGCTTTAGTCTTGATGTAATTGAATTTAAAAAGAATATCACTTTTGCCAACTAAACAGCTGTAATCATTATACAACATGTCAGAATATGTACAAGAGCTCATGCAGGTCACGTCGTAACCTGCTCATGCTGCAACATCAGTTGTCTTTAAACAATAAAAGTGAAAGGATGTCTTTTTCATAAGTACAAGTTTTCATTGTTGAGTACTACCTGGCATCTCAATCTTGCTTAATTTGTCAAAATAAGCTTAGGGATTCGTTCCCCAATTTTCCTGTACCAAACAGATTGATGGTATCTTGTCTGGTGAACCATTTATGCACATTTTTGTATCCGCATCGAAGACTGAACACTACTGAATAATTAGTACTTTTGTTTTGTATCCGTGAGGTTCCAAGTTTGATTCTTGGTTTAGTTTGTCATTCATTTTTTCGTCGTATCAGAAACAAGATACCCAAAAATCATAATTTTGCACAGGCACTGCCAATTTGTAATACTTCTCTGCATAGATAGCCTAATTGTAGGCAACACTAAGTATGTAAGTATATTGATTCAGTATTCAAGAGCTCTTAGTGTGAACTGATTTTACATGTGTTGTGTCATAGCAAGGACCGTTCCCCCTCTCCAGTGTCTGATCTGCCTCCTGCCAACACAGTGCCACAGCAAAATATCAGCATCACCAGTACTTCTAGTGGTGGCAGTAGTAATGGCCGTGGAGTTATTGGTGTCAACACAACAGGATTTCCCACTACATCTCACTCGTCTGTCAGCATTTCTGATGGATCTTATCCTCAGCAGAGCCCCAAGGTAGGTTTCCTATCAGAATGAAGATATATATGGATATAGTTAACCATAAAACTGTGGCTAACATTAGCAGCATCCAGACTGGCTCTGGGGCTCGCCCAGCCTCCTATCCAATGGGTACTGGGGTACGTTACCTGGACAGATGTGGTTCGTGTTAAGATTAGCAAGTTAATGTCAGAATCGTATTTGTATACCGTAATATTTTGAGCCTTACCCACTTGTTTTAGCTGTCATTGGCCAGCTGGTCTTAACATTTGTCGGTTTGGGAGTTTAGCCTAATATCTATATAGACTAGACACACACGCGCATGCATAGAAACAAACATGCAGATGTGCGCATGCATGTATGTACACATTCAAGTGTAATGTCTTAGATACTTTTTGTTGCAGTCCTGCATAATATTTTATTATAAAATATGCACCATATCAAAGGAATGTTTTCTTCTGGCTTATTGCTAATAATGTGTGTTATGTTTCTCAGGATATTTTTTTGGTGGCAACACATCGGAGTATTTTAGGTGTTAAGCCAAGAAATTGTTGAAGAAGCCCTCTGTTTTTATAAGTTTGGTATAATTACTTCATTTCCTAAGTTCATAGATTTTAATTAAATATGCTAAAAGTAGTGTCAAATGCTTCGTGAGTTTTTGTTCTGGTAAACACTGAGCACTATCTGACCAAGGTATCTGGTATTACTGTACATAACTTTGTATTATGAAAATCAGTTATTTATAATTATATATTTGCAGAACTCAGCATTGCAGAATGGCAGCACAGGCCAGTCCTCACCCACAGTGTACTATGGTCACTCACGCCGTTCCTCCCTCCACTCCAACAGCGAACCTCCCCAAGAAGTTTCCCCAGCTCATGTAAAATTTGTAAGAGATACATCACGATTTTGGTACAAGCCAACAATTTCTCGAGAAGAAGGTGAGTTACACACATAGTTGTATTAGTGTTCATAAGAGGAATGTAAATTTTTTTATTGTTTTGCATCTTAGCTATTTTGATTTGTCATGAAATTAAGTATATGAAACTCTGATGTTTCTTCCACATCTAGTGTTTCACTATCATGACTTGGTTGACAGAGCCTCATTTGTGATTAATGAAATGGTGCATTATTGGGAGTAAAATACTGTTCAGTTAGTCATTACAACATACAAATAGTATGATGCATTAATTTATTCTTTAATTCTGTATTAAATAAATTACTTTTGACTAACAAATTTCTGCAAAGGTTTTTAAAATAAGGTGTATTTACAGTTTTTTATTTATTTATGAAACCAGACATTGTTAGTAGGCTGTAGTGGATGAATAAGACAAACGCCAATAGTAACAATAGACATTTTGATATACTTGTATAATGTGAGTTGAAAGCAGTATGTAAAAATTCTGCGTATACAGTTTTAATCTAAAATGTTTCTATCAAGCAGGTAATTAATGATATATGCCTAAAGCCTAGAACAGTGGTCCCCAACGTGGTTGCCCGCGGGCGCCATGGCTTTTTTTTGGGTTCCCGTGTTGTTAAGGAAAGAGGTTATACTGAATAATGAAGGCCATTCAGCCATGAACATTATAAAATCAAACACAGATCTCGACTTACTGATGCCCATCTTGACGATTGTTTGCGAACAGCGTCATCATCCTACACTCCCAAATTTGAAAAACTGGTCGATGAAATGCAGTGCCAAATATCACACTATCTTCCCACTTGAGTTATAATAATTGTACTTATAAAAGTACGTATTTTTGATTGCATGGTTTCTTGTATCATTAAACATTGTGTTGTTTTGTGTATTATTTGGTGTCCAGAGAAAAGAAAATTTGGCTTTGTTAATTGGTTGGTGCCCGCCACGATCTCATAAACTCTCAAATGTGCCTTTAGGCACAAAAAGGTTGGGGACCACTGGCCTAGAATGTATTTAAGATAATAGTATTACTGCAAGTTCTCCCTTTAATGTTCATGTAGGATGATGATTTCCTGCATATAGATGTAATAAAACAGCTACTTTGCAGTGTGTGATTTGAATTGTGTTTAATTTAGTCACATGTATAACCCAAAATTAAGTGGCTGTATTATGTAGTTTTTCTTCATGAAACCGAAACTTCTTCTGAAACAAGCAGTCATTCACATGATCAGTAAATTAACCATCTTGTATGGAAACTGGAGTTTGTATAATTATGAAATTTCTGCAATATTTTAACATAATATTTCTGAAACCTGAATTACAGCTATCAACATGTTGCGTGATCAAGCGCCAGGAACATTTGTGGTACGAGATTCCAACTCATTCCCTGGTGCATTTGGGCTAGCACTAAAAGTTGCTGTACCCCCTCCTAATCTCCAGAGCAAGACAAATGATCCAGCTAGTGAACTGGTGCGCCATTTCCTCATCGAACCTACATCAAGAGGTGTCAAACTCAAAGGATGCAGCAATGAACCTGTGTTCAGTATGTGTCATGGAATGTTAAATTGTGAAACTGTCTGTATATAGATGGCCTTACTGATTATAAAATCCACACCTTCCTTCCTGGCATCCAAGGGCCCATGAAGTTGGATGTTTCATTGTAGGATTTGAGGTTTCCACGATGGCAAGTTAGAAGATGGCTGTCTTCTGGATTGTTGGACCATGTATTCTGGTAGAAGTTTACCGAGGTTTTAAAGGTCCTTGCTGCCTCCATCCGCAGGGCAGATGATGTTGGTAAACTTCTACCAGACTACACGGCACAAAACCCCAGAATACAGCGATCCGTATGGTTCCTTTTAAAATATGTTACAGTGATCCGTATGGTTCCTTTTAAAATATGTATTAATTACATAATTTATTTGCTGTTTTGGACAGTAATCTTAGACTGTGTCATCTGTAATATCTTGTTGTTTAGGTTCGCTGTCAGCTCTAGTATACCAACACTCATTGATGCCGATGGCATTGCCTTGCCGACTACTACTTCCTGAAAGTGATGGGTCTCGACTACCTGCAGATAGTCCTGGCACCATAAGCACTGCACAGCTGCTACTTGCTCAGGGAGCAGGTGAGTGTAATTGAAGTTACAGGCATGAGGATATGCCCTGCACTTTATTCAGGTTTGATGCTTTATGTCAGTAGGCCTGTAAGCCATTCGGTAAACAGTCTAAAATAATTTATGTATATAAATAAAAAACACAGATGACCCACATAAAGCATAAATAATATACGAGGAGGAAGAAAGTAGAGGAGGCAAATAAGTAACATTTTACCAATTGCTTTGCATGGCTATGAAATGTGATTTCCTACAATGATGGAAGAATATAAATTCAACTTGTATGGAAGAAAAATGTTTTGTGAAAATATTAATACTTAACCTTTATTGTATGGGAACCTGTACACTATTGTTCAGTTGGCTAGATTTTAATTGTGGAGTTTAATGGTATAATGATGTGCTACTGTGACACATGGATGGCTGGACCACTTCAGCTGAGATAATGCATGCTTGATACAGGTCAATTGTAATACAAGTAGGGAATTAGGATTTTATAAAATGAGGTACCTTGTGATTTGTGGATTGCCGGTCAGTTCTTATTATGAGCAAGTCTGAATTATGAAGCTGTGTAACAAAATGCAGTTTTCATTTCTTCTGATTTTTCTTAAAATACTCGAATATGTGCACTGGTTGACATAGGTTATGATTTCCATAAAAGTTGAATAAACATTTTAAAGTGATTTCAGTACTCGGATTGTATTTTTATAGCCTATTTGTTTTACACTAAAAACACTTAAGGTATCTTCATATCCATGTGTTGTTTCTTCCTAATAGCACTTGTCTGGTTTTCACTTGACATGACACCACAACAGGCCATTCTGTGTACATCTTAATTTTCCTATCCACTGTAATTCATTAATACTAACATGGTAACTATGCAGACTTGTGAGGTGGGAGCAACATTTGTGCCACTTAAAATAATAATCTGTGGCGTAACAGTCCCCTTGAGAGCCTAAGCCGACTAGCTGGCTGCTGGCCTCACGTTCACATGCCTAAGCAGAGGTGAACGATCATCCAACCAGATATAGGGTGACGCATGGTCAGCACGACGAACCCCCAGCCATTGCTAGCTTTCCATGACCGGATTACGCTCCCCAATTTCCTCACAATGCTGGGTTGGCACCGGTCCCATACACCAGTCGAAAATCTCATGAGAAGTTTCTTTCCCGAGACAGCGCGCAGTCTGTATCACCGGTCTGAAGCATGATGCCTCAGACCGTGCGGCTACAGCGCGGGACACCACCTAAAATAGGATGCTGCAATTTTGTGTGGTAACAGATCTTCAGCAGATATGTGTCTTTCAATAAGGGAAACTGTAGCTTCTTTCAATAAGACATTTCTTTTGTAGACTGTAGGACACTGATGTGGTGTCTGTGCAAAATCTGTATTTAGCTTTATGTGATGACATGTAAAATTGTGTATTGAACTATTTTAAAATTAAAACATGGTGATATTGAAAACCTTTTTATAACATGCGCGTATAAAGTTGGACTCGGTACCAGTTGAGATTAAACACAGAAATGGATCACTGCATATGATAAATATTAAGTTTATAGTTCTTGTTAGGCACATTATGTAGACCGAAGAATTTGGACTAATATAATTACCCTATTTTTGGGACCATAAGATTTATTGGAGGAAATAAATGCCCAGGATAAAAATGGGCTACACCTTTGGATTATGACACAGACATTTTAGACATTTTTCAGGAAAATAAATATTTACCCTCCAGGAAGTATATCATAAGTTCTTTCCATAACTTAGTTTTCAGGTAAAAGTAATAACACTTGAGCAACATTATATTATCACTTCTCACTAAGCCAACACTCATGAATTTTAATGGCTACTTATCCTGTCATTTTATTATAAATAATCTATAAGTTTACTCTGCTGGTTTGTGTTTCAGCCTGCAATGTTCTGTACCTGTATACTCTGGATACAGAATCACTAACAGGTCCTCAAGCAATAAAAAAGGCAGTCCAACACATGTTCTCAACAAGACCATTACCAACAGCAACAGTGGTTCACTTCAAGGTTTCTGGACAAGGCATAACACTCACTGACAATAAGCGCCAGCTGTTCTTCCGCAGGCATTACCCTGTGACCACAATTTCTTACTGTGGACTGGACCCAGATGACCATCGTTGGAGTCAAAAGAGTGATGAAACGGGAATGCCCATCAGTTCAAAGTGAGTGATTGGTTGATGTCGAGCAATGTGTGGCAATTGGTGGACGATGATCCTCCTTTCAGGATACAAGTTTCTGTATGATGCATTTCTATTTCAAATGTGTTTATCTAAATAATGAACCATACTTTGGAAGACCATGTTCATCCACATAAGGTAACATAATTTTTCATGGGTACTCCTTTATCCAAAAGGGCAGATGCCAGAAAGTGTACTGCTGTATATGAACAAAGATACCATTGAGGTGAACAAGAAGGCACTGAGTTTTAATCACAATGTATGTCCAATTCATTGAAGATTCCAAAAATTACTTAATTCCAAATTCTTATTCCAGTAAATCAAATGATAAGGAAGGACTTATATCTTCTGAAATTTCTGTGATCAGTGAGTTGAATGCAGACATTCATCATATCATTTGTGAAATTAATTAGTACAGAAGTCATTTCTGAATATGTGTGTGACCAAACCAACTTGTATGCCATTCAAGTTATTAGTGATGCACTGCACTCCTTCTCAAAACATGAATTTGTTAAGACATGGATTCTAGTAAGTGCCAGAATTGAAGACTTTTGGGGATTGATGTTTGTGACAGAACTAACAGAGAAACCTAGTCTCACTCAAACTTTGTTGGATTGAAGATCCTGTTTTTGAAATTCCAATAATTTTGAAAACGTGTCCAATTCTGAGAGTATTCTATCATTTCATCACTTCATTGTATGAAGTATGTGTTATAACAGTACAGACAATGTACAAAATAAGACCTGCACATTGAAAGATGCAACAAACAGACAGAGAATACAACCATAAGTTGTTCTTCACTTATGATAGAGTATAAAAACACCTAAATGCTGCCAAAGTACTTTGCTATATCCATTCTTATTTCATATTATTACACATTTATTTTTTGCTTCTTGTTCAATTTTCTTTGAAAAGAAGTGTTATTTTTCATTTTCTTAAAGAGATCCCTTTACTTCCTGGGTGAATTATTGCTGCAGATTTATCGTGTGTAAGTGGCCTCTGTTTTCTGAGGGTTTTCTTGATTTTCCTCATCTCCTTCATAAAATGCCTAGATAGTATTGTGAGTTAGGCCATGACACCAATTTATTATTGATTAATGATCATACCATTCTGTGCTGTATAATATGATCTATTGACAGAATCACTAATTGAATGGAAAATAAATTCATGAAAGTCAAATTCTAAATCTTCTGATTCTACACCAGTGAACACGACAATGAAACTTTGTTCCAGCCGTTGTTTTGGATTTGTGGCGAGGAAGCCAGCAAGTAAAACAGACAACCAGTGTCACATCTTTGCTGAGCTTGAACCAGAGCAACCAGCATCAGCCATTGTCAACTTTGTCTCCAAGGTTATGATGAGTGGTGCTTCTGCAAAAGCAAACATCGTTTGAAAGTGCTTCATCTAGGCATCTCGGCTGGTACTTGTAATGAGTGCATTTTGCTATGTTGTAGGACCTTGAAGTGCGGGCGTTTTGAGAATATCAAAATGCTTGGTCAATGGTATGTATCTTTTTCACAAATTAAATGCAGTGTGTCCTCAAAAGAATTGTACAGATGGTATCATATAAGTATTGTAACAAATGAATTTGGACTAACTGTCTGGTATTTGGTCCCAGGATTGCTGGAATTTTCCTTTTGGGAGCTGTACTTTCATGATTCAGTATGTTCTGGGGAGTGTTACTAATCACAGGGTATGTCAAGGAATTGTAAATACAGCAGTAGGTTGGTAGAAAAGTGTGAGATACTTAAAATTACTTGTAGTTCCTGTCATGATTAAAAGCAATAAAACCATTTCCTTATCAGCTGCATCATTATAGAGAAAAACTGTAACATTCTGTCATGGTGAATATTTCATGTAATCAATAAACATCAGGCAAGACTTTTAAGTATGCATTTTCTGTTGGGTAACTCTTGAAAGATGGTTGTAGTGTTGTGTGATTAAATTATTATATGACAAAAGTGACATCATGATCATCATTAATTTATCTGAGCATTATGGTGTGATTATTATAGGATATTTAATAATGTTGCATTTACACATAACCTGATTTCTAGACCAGGATTCACCAATGGTACTAAGTGAATTGTTTGTTCCTCTCATCAGACCAGAAGGCAGTACAAATATCAGGACAATATCATAAAATGGGTCACAGCTTTCTACCATATTTATCCCAGCTTGTCATTCATAATCACCTCTGCAGGTGTGTAAAATAATTAATATAAAAAACAAACTTTGTTTTCAGTATATTCTAATGACAAAGAAATTATTTGGTTTTTTGCAGGTGATGTAAAATAATTAATATAAAAAGCAAACTTTGTTTTCAGTATAATCTAATGACAAAGAAATTATTTGGTTTTATTTATTTATTTATTCTTGGTTCATTTAATGACAGTTTCTATAACTGAGATTTTGTGATGTTCATTTATAGGATGATAAGTGGATAGTGAACTGATTGGGGGGAGGGGGGGTGTTAGTCATGGACTTCTTCAAGGACCTATTCTGACTTTTTGCCTGAAGGGACTGAGGAACATCACAAAAATCTCAGGATAGCAGTAGTTTGCCACAACATTCAGTAAAAACAAACTAGTAGTCATGACATGCTTTGTACAGCACCTGAAAATCTATCAGCAAATATATATATATATAATACACGTAAATTACTGGTTCTACACAAACTGTTTGTTATAGAACCCTATGTTTTGTTTAAAGTTCATTATAGGTTTCATTATGTGCAGTTCTTCTGTGGACATTTTGTGTTACATGCACTTGTAATATTGGAAAAGTGAGTATTGAATAGTGCAGACAAATATAATATCCTTAGAGACATTACAATACACCGCTGATACAGCTTTATTTTGAGAGAGGAGTCGCTGCTGCTGCTGCTGATATAACATAACCGAGCTAACCTAACCTAAATCTGCCAAATGATAATTGTGTATCTCATATTCTCAAAACTGTCCATACTTGTATGTAGTGTGTACAACATATCACCTTATGCACATGTTAATATGCTATCTATTGTCATATATTATAAAACATGTAAACTAACTATTTGTTAATATTGTACAGCCTATACTTGTGATGGTGTTAGAATCCACACACGAAAGGTCCATTGTGATTGGATTCCAAGAAGAACATCGTATGAGACCTTTTTTGTGTATTGTACATCTTGCCATAACAGCCATAAGATTGTATTGTATCAAGTAGTTATGTACATTGCTGACACATGTAAAGCCATGCACCAAAGTTTCATTATTAAACCTTACTTAAGAGCACTTCCATAAACTGTAGGTGTTTTAAAATGTTATTGACTGGTTTAATTAAATGAAGAAAGGCTGATTCAGTTGCAGTCTCAAATTTTGAGATTTTGACCCATATACCATGTGAAAATTTCTAGCTAGCTGTTATGAAAAATTATGTTAATACTTTGAGACACTGTAAAAAGGCGCTGGAAGCCTCTGTCCAGGACTGTGTCCAGAAAATGGATGTATACATTAGTCTGTTTTGTTGTCTTCTGTGTCATGTTGTAAGTGATTTGGATTATGTATGAAGTTGCTAAGCTTATCTGATAAGCCTACAAATGGATTAAGAAGATGTGATCCAAATTAAACTGTGTGAATGTTAACAAAAATGTTAAGTGACTGTATATACACAATGTACTAAATGACAAACTTGCTATTATGTAGCAAGTGCTATGGTTTTTAAGTGCAGGAATTTTTAATCTGTAATAGAAATGCTACTAAAATTGTCAGTGATTGAAATATTTATCATGTAAACTGTCAAAAGTCAAGTACAATATGATTATGCCATAATGTATCTCAGAGACAGTTCTGTACGATAACAGCAGAGTTGTCATGAAATTTAATTACTGGTTAGTTTGTAACATTAACAGAATATTTGTTATGTGTGATATTTTATTATTTTTAAATATGCTTTCATGTAACTTCTTGCATTATTTCAGCTTTAATGAGAAAAATTTAAAATGAGATTTGAGGTTCTCACAGTAGTGAGTATGAAGATGGCCAACTTTTGGGTTGTTGCACCTTGTAGTCTGGTAGAAGTTTACAAATGTTCTGTAGGTCCTTGCTGCCTCCATCACCCTAATTATGGACACAGCAACCACCTCTAAAATATCAGTAAACTTTTACCGGACTTCATGTTGTAACAACAAAGAAGATGGACATCTTCAAATTTAAAAATGATTTCCATACTAATGCTTGGAATTGAAAGCCTTTTAATCATCCAATTGAACCAGTTAAATGAGATATCCTGCAGTAGTCATTTTAATATTTGTTTCTTACCCATTTATTATTAATTAAAACAAATTATATATACATATTTTATTAAGTAATATTATTTTACTTGTACTATTGTTTTAAGATGTACATATGTAACTTTAGATGGCCTCATTTTAGCCTTATTTCTTTGCTGTGAATGACAAATAATTTCTTGAGTTTCTGGAGAAGTACAAGTTAGATTATTAATTTGTTCTGTTTAACATGAAAATTTCCCATTGTAATATAAATCTAAATATAACAACAGTAAATGATTTATCAGTGCTATATGCATCCCAGTGATTATATGTTACACTGTATCTGTAGAAAATACAGTCTGCTCATTATTTTTATCCTTGAAATGCCTAATAAACATGATGCCTTTGAGGGGAAGGGATGACAACAACAATTGAAATGCAATCAAATCTCCATTATCTGGGTTTGACAGTGGTGTCAAATTACTGCAAAATCATTTCCCTTCAACTTTCCTCCTCCTTTTTTAACCTCTTTTTTGCAAGTACTATATAGGCAGACTTCTACACTATGAGCATTGCATTCTATGGATTAGGTGAAATTTACAAAGTTTGTGAGGTGAGATCATAATGGGCTATTCTGAATGAATTCATGGAATTGTTAATGCTAGAATATTTTTTTTAATATTTGGTGATCACTATCATATCAGTGGTTGATTCACAAGACCTTGACACTGGACCCTACCCTGAGCTGGATGAATTCACTCCACGTCCTTACAACCTGTTTCCTTGAGGTCCATTGTAATAATTATAATATCCTCCCATCTACACCTAAGCCTCCCAAGTCTTGTACCATTAAAATCTCTGTCTTCATTCTGAATGAAAGTTCTGTTTTATACTTAAATTACTGGTTATTACTTCAGTTTTTCTTTAAGTTGGGGGTTAGAGGCTGCTTTATAGCTATGAACAGAAAAATTGTTTACTTCAGACGTTCTTATTTGTTTGATACAACATAGCAGCCATAGCTGATACTTGTTACAGAGCATCATGAAAACCTTATATTCTTTAATGCTTTGTCTTCCTTTTTGTGGACTTCACAAAGATGTGGAATGAGTTCAGACAAATGGGTGGCAGATATTTTTATAGTGGTTACATGTGTGCATAGTTTTATATTTTTGTCGTCTTTACCCACAGTTATCCCAAATAACTGAGAGTTGATTGTATATGTGTTTCATTTTCCTGCACATCACTGTCTCCAGATCATACTTTCTAGTTTGAATATGTGAATTGAAATTGAAATGTTACCACTTTATTGCTTATCTACTGTAACATTATGCATAACATGACATGGGAACATGTTGATTTTTAGCATCATTTAGAAGCACTGTTTTTGTTATCTTTAGATTGTAACTAGTGACAATCATTTTCTAGGGAGTATCAAGTTGAAGAGTCAAATTATGGGGTAAGTAAGCAAATGGTCAATAGCTAACTGTGTGACACTGTGAAATGTAGGTTAATTGGTGTAGCAAGAAGTTAGTTTCTGGTGCCAGTTCTTGAACATATCCAGTTCACATTACACAGGCATTTTCCTTTTGTTATGGTGTCATCTGAAAGCTGTCCATTTTACAGTAAACATAAGTCCGCATAAAATTAGCTACAATTTTCAAAAATGTCAAGTTCAGTTATTTAAATTTGGAGGTTTCATGAGATAGATGTCAGTATGGTCCTCAGGGTAGTTATACCAACATTTCAGAAGAACATATTGCCTCCATTTTCAACTTGAAAATTGCAATCACAAAGAAGTTTTGTTTCCCAGTTTTTTCTTTAAAATTATGAACACTAAGAGTAAACTGAAAATTGCAATCACAAAAGTTTTGTTTCCCAGTTTTTACTTTAAAATTATGAACACTAAGAGTAAAAATTTCACTTGCTGTATGTGGATGTGAAGCTTTGTCTCTTAGTGAATTTCGTTTAAGTCTGTACGAAAATTACAGCTTTACCTTGAGTTTGTAGAATGTTAAAATATGGGCCTCATTCAGTTCCACATCTGGGAAATATCTTTATATTGCGCAGTATTTAACGAAGTAACGTTTTGTATAAGACGATAAGCTTTGTCAACGGTTGAAGTTATTAGATATTGTGTGCATAGCATTGCATCTGTACTGTTGATAAGATCTGTCAACATTATATTCAAACCTGTAATAGATATCATAACCAAGGAAGGATGCAAGGTCTACAAAATGCATTTGGAAAATACTCCGTGTACTAAATATCCTACACTTCGTAGGGCTGCGATAGTCAGTAAAATAATTGGTGTCAAACAATTTTCTAGAGTGTGCTCGCATTAAATTTAGTGATATTTTGCGTCGTGTGTCGGCATTGTTATTTGTTTGTAACATCACAGATTTGCAATATTGAGATTGAGGTTATATTCACAGCGTTCGTTAGATGCGTGGTAACACGCAGATCGTTTGTCTTTTTTTTGGAGTGTGGTCTTTGATGCTGTTTCTTATGATCTCATTGCAGCCGTTGTGCCTAACAAAATGAGACGGTTGAAGGAAAAGATCTTGTTTTAAGTCCTTGTGCATGGGTATAATCAGCTGGTGACTGATGTTTATGACCTAGAAAAATTCGGGCAAGAGGTTATCAGTTAACGAAGTAGCTGAACTTTGCCTTATATTATTTGTTTTTAAACGCAAATTGTCATAAATATGCATCTTTATATGAACAAACCATTGCTTAATGTAATTAAATCTTTCACAGCAAATGTTCATTAGCACCATGTTTAAAGCAGTGAATACATTCAAGTGCCGTAAATTTATAAAAGTCAAATTTGTCAATTTATATAAAAATGCGTGTTTTTGCACAAATAAGAGTGAAGTTTCTTCTTCGTATGAACCACCAAAACCAGAGAATCCTTTTAAACGGACATTTAGGATTCTTGGAAATGACATGAAAACTGCAAAAAATAAAGTGCAATCCTTTATTACAAAAGTACAAGGCGTACGTGAAGTGACAAACAAAGTTCCAAAATCCCCGTATCGAGATGGTGTATTCCCAGAGCATTGCGATATTGCCATTATTGGTGGAGGTGCAATGGGCTCATCTATTGCTTATTGGCTGAAACAGAGAGCCCCTAATGCAATTACAGTAACTGTCATCGAAAAAGATCCTTCGGTAAATCAAAATATTGTATCCTGGGGTCAGGTAAACAAAATCCAAATTTAAAGCATGGAAAGTAGATTTGAGTTTGATTACTAATCGCTTCATACTCTCCATTTCATAGTCTGTGCATGTAGAGTCTGTTTCATTGTATATACTTATTCTAATAATCTGAAGTTGTGTATTGAAATTACCAAACTTGTGCTGTGCAAATAAAAGTGCTTTATTTCTCATGCTTGTTTGTTCTCATCTCTCATTCCAAATTTTCATATTGCATGTTTTAGTATGTTGCAGTAATCTTATGGCAACATTACTGTACCTGTAACACTGCATTTCTTGACTGATGTGCTGTAATATCTTTCTCAGTATGACACAAGCATTTGTAATATTTTATGTAGTGCACCATTTCCAGATGTTCTATGTTTGTAGAATTTGAGGTTATCATGGTGGCGAGTATGAAGATTGCTGTCTTCTGGGTTTTTATGCTGTGTAGTCTGGTAGAAGTTTACTAACATTTTAGATGTACTTGCTGTCTCCATCAGGGTGGTGATGATGATGAAGGCAGCAAGTGCCTTTGAAACAGTCCTACCATACTATATGGCATTACAACCCAGAAGAGAGCCATCTTCATCCCACATATGTTCAGCAAAGTGTTTGCAATAATTTGATATAAAAGGAGCCTCTATAACACACATGCAGATTGGATTTTATTAATTTCAAGTCAACTAATTCCATCTACATTGTTACTTACATTTCTACAGACTGATGATACAGATTAAATAGAAGGGCTTCTATAAGATACTTCAGATTTTCTTGGTGAAGACATTTTGTTTTGTGATCTTGTGGTTTATGATATGTAGGTTTGTAGGTATACTGAAGGTGGAGACAATGCTTTCCTCCAAAATGTTCGTTAATCTACTAGATTACATGGAGTTGTTAAACATACAAAAAGGCTTCTGGTTTTTCTGTTCAGCTGAAGTTGTAATCTGCTTGACAGAGTTGGAATTAAGATTTCAGATGTAGAAAAGCTTAAGAACAATTTGGTGTACTACAATCAAATTTTAGGGCTCTATGACAATCTTGATTTATTGAAACCTGCTTCTTTGTTCTTACCAAGTTTTGTGTGTGACTGTACTTGTCATGTATTGATTGTGTTTTCTATGATAATTGTAATTACTTTTCTTTATATTTTGTGGGTAAAGAGAATCGTAATATACTTGGAGGTATAATTGGTTTAGTGATTATGTCCATTTTGGGGAGAAGAATATTGAGATGAGGAAATCCATAACATAATCTGAATTTATATTTTAATACTTGAAGTAGGGGAAAAGGGGGATTTCTTCTTATGCCATTTCATTTCCCAGTGAATTTGACTGTAAAGTGACAAATCACTCATTTCTCATGTTTTGGACATGCCATGATGTTTTATACATTCTGAATTTAATGCAAATATTAAAAACATGTAGTGTCATGTTGATTTTTCTTTCTTTAGTATGTTGATGCATCAACAGTTCTTTCTGTTGGTGGTTTGAGGCAACAGTTTTCCTTGGAGGAGAATATCCGGATGTCGCTTTTTGGTGCAGAATTCCTGCGTAACATCAAGCAACATTTGTCAGTTGAAGGACATGATCCACCAGATGTACAATTCACGCCATTTGGTTATTTGTGCCTTGCATCTGAGGAAGGTGCTCAGCAATTAGAAGAGAATGCAAATCTTCAAAAGCAAGTATTAATGTTTAAAAAATTAAAATAATTGGTTAAATTAGCTTGTGATTCTGTATGAACTGCTTCTTATGGAAGGATAAGAGGATGTAATATTAAATTGGATCTTAGGTACTAAATTCATTTAATTCAAGATAAAAAAATGTTTCAGGAATTTTGTGCATGTTATGTAAGTAGTACATATTATCAGAACTGTAAGACTAATATAGAGTTATTTTTAAAAAAATAACTTGATATGGGCCTTCCACTGCATTCAAGGGGTCTTGCTACATGTTTGAAAGATGTGTAATCCTAGAATTAACTCTCAGTTTTAACAAGTCAGTGTCTACTCTGTGAAATCTGAAGACAAAGAACTATAATGGGTAAAAGTATTCATGTATTGTTAGTAAATATCTGTTACAAATGTGAGATTTGAGGCTTTTGTGGCAGAATTAGTCAGTCTTTTGTTTCTCGTCTTGGATCCCTTCAGCTTTCCTATATAGCCTAACTCACATTACATCACTACTCCCTTCCACATTGAAGAAGGGGAAAGCAGGTTCCTCTGAAATGTTGGTGACCATCTGAATGACTGCATGGGTTCAACCCAGAAGATCACAATTTAAAAAGAAAACTATTACAGTTCTTTACCAACTATTTTATGGTTGCAGAATGTAGGCAGAGGATATCAGTAAGTAAATTAGTAACACAAGTGTTTGATTTCAAGATATTTTAGCTCAGGAAACTAAGCAGTGCAGTTTTGTAAAACTTAGGTAATAATGTAGGCATCAATTAAGACTTGAGGAAAGTATTTGTGAGAATATAGAAATTTTAGCCAAAGAGTTAAAGCAGCATAAACCATGATTTCACAAAGCACATTCAAAATGATTAGACAACAGGAAGAAAGTAAGGAATCATGTTAAATTACAGTGGTTACAGAATCTATGCTAAATATGTGGGATAATATGAACAATCTTGTTATTTTTCAGGAAATTGGGAGCCAAAAATGAACTTCTTACTCCAGTAAAACTGAAACAGAAGTTTCCATGGATCAACACAGATGGTATTGCCTTAGGTTGTCATGGTCTGGAAAATGAAGGATGGTAATAATATTTACAATACATTTACTGTGTCCAGTGTGGTCTTTGGTATTCATGGAGTTAAATCTCCAGGTTCTGCCGACACTGCCAGTTGGTTACATAGTTAAATATCACATTTCCCTTTATTTTTAATAGCTTTATATTTAGGAATTACAATATGACCTTTTCATTATATCCTCCACAGCATCCTTAGGGATCATTACATTTATCATTTATTATATACTGGTACTTGCTAATTCTGTCTTCCATCTCATTCAGGTTTGATCCTTGGTCTTTATTGTATGCTTTCAAGACAAAAGCATTATCCCTAGGAGTTGAGTATGTTGATGGAGAAGCTGTTGGCTTTGAATTCAAAAAGATGCCTGATATGTTAACGGAAGGAGTTGAGCCTGGAAGCTATGAAGCAGTTGAAAAGGTTTTGGTATGTATTCCCATTTACACCATTTGTTCTTGCATTTTCTAAATCCTTGAAATGAAAACTGCAGCTTACAGAATGCATATTTGTTGTAAATATTTTTCATTCCAAGTGTCAATAATTGTAAGGATAAAATAAAAGTTAAAAACAAACCAGAGCATGTTATTGAATTTTATTTAGTGCTGTTGCTTTAAAGTAGAATTTTCATTATTTTAATTTCAAATTTAATGTAAGTATTTTGTCTTCTGAGCCAGAACCCAGTCCATATTAAAAATAAGTTATGGGAAGAGCTGACAGTTGTTCTTCCATTTGTATATGGGGGTGCAGGAGCAGAAATTGTGGCAACCAGACATTTATAATTATCATACTCTGGAGGATATAATGGGAATATGTTAGGGCAGTACATCAGCTATTTTACACACTTAAAGAAAGCTTGTGATTTACAAGATAAGTATTGTATAACTTTCTCAGTGAGTTTGGTATACATATGAAAATAATTGTGCTAATTAAAATATGTTATAAACAAAACTTACAGTATATCTGTATAGCTAAAAATCTGTATGATGCATTTTCCGGTCAGAATTTTTGGAAACAAGGAGACACTTTATTACCATTGTCAATCAGTGGGAATGACCAAGAAAATCTTGAGGGATTGGAACTGAATGGGATACGTTAGGTTCTGGTTTATGTTGCTGATGATTATTTATTGGCTTAAAACATAAACATTAACTGAAGGTTTATAAAATTCAAGTAAGGAGTTTTGTCTAGAAGTAAACACAGAGGGTACTATGTATGTATATTGTCACCAGACTGGAATTATTTGGTGCAGGATAGCAAATTTAATGATTTAAGTGCAACATTTTCACTAATGTATACCCCTACTACTGAAAATTGTCAGACATGACCTTAAAGTTTATCACCAGAATTTCAGAGCTGTTTGTTAAATGAAATTATGTTACTGCCACCTCAGCATTCATACTGCTGCAGTGTATTTCTTTATGGTACTTAAGAAAGTGAGAAGGTGTGGTGAAAATCTGTGCTTTGAGCACTCTGTGTTCATGTTATGATAATCGGAACACTGTTAATGTATTAAAGCTCTCAACATACATTTCCAGGTGAAAACTGAAAGTGGGGAATTACGCTCTATTAAATTTGGATTCGTAATCATTGCAGCAGGACCTCACTCTGCAAGAGTTGCAAAAATGGCCAGAATTGGTACTGGTGAGGGGATGCTGAGCATCCCATTACCCGTGGAACCAAGGTATAAAATGGCAACATACATTTATCTTAATTAGTATTAACAGGAAAATGTGAATGCAAATATAATACAATCCATGATTTTAGATTGTTCATAATATTCAGTAAGCTTTTTTTGCAGTGTTTCCATTTCAGATTATGCATCTCACTTTAAAGTAAACAGGTTTGTGTATGTATGTGTGCACATGTGTAGGGACTTATTTCTGAAGCCTTCACCATCACTTTACACATGTGCCTTTATTGATTTTTCTTACTTGCACCTATTAATTTATTCATATGACGTGTTTTTTATATTTCTACAGTTTAGTTCATAGAGGTGTACTTATTCTAAGGAATCCCATGTATCATCTATTTTCATTCAGGTATTTTGAATTTTCTTTGTTCTTCAGGAAGAGATATGTATTCTGTATAAACTGCAAGAATGGACCGGGTCTGAACACTCCATTAACAATAGATCCCTCAGGAGCATATTTTAGGTATGTGTTGTGTTTGACACAGTTTAATATTTTTGTCTGCAATTACATTCAGAACAATTCTGGGGACAACCCAGCCTCCTCTTCAGTTGGTAATTTAATTTTTTTTAAATCCACCTATTTGAAGGACTGTGGGTTCTGTGTTTCAATTTAATTTTTTTTTAAATCCACCTATTTGAAGGACATTGTTCTTTTTAACTCCTTATCATTGATAATACTGTAATGGTAGCCATGTGAACTTTGATGTTAGTAGTTAAATTAATGGAGGGTTATGAAAGTAAATGGGTCATTGAAATATATTTAGCTCTTAATTGAATGTGGATTAGACAAACCTTGTATGAAGAAGTTCATTAAATATTAATAAATATGGTGAGGATTTTAACTTTGAAATTGTGCCTGACAATTCTGAAGTAGTGTTAATCTTTTCTATCCTATAATATGCAAATAGAACTTTGAAATTGTGCATGACAATTCTGAAGTAGTGTTGATCTTTTCTATCCTATAATATGCAAATAGATCACTGAGTTGTATGGTTTTAAATTTGTAATATTTGCTACCTTATTAGACAAAGGGATTTGGGTAAAGTAGTCTTGTTAGTTCAGGTCAGAACTTCTTGTATGTAATACTATGATATTGTTTACAGACGGGAAGGTCTTGCTGGCAATTATATTTGTGGCAGATCTCCACTTCCTGAAGAAGAACCTAGTGTAGATAATCTGGATGTGGATTATGATTTCTTTGATAAAAATGTCTGGCCAATCCTTGCAAAACGTGTGCCTGCATTTGAATCAGTTAAGGTCAGTATGTAAGATTTATGAGGACTGTATATTGGAAAGATGTAGCAGAAAGGGTACAGTACGTGAATGATGATTAATCACAATGCTGGAAATGTGAATCTGCAGTGAGCTTTTTTGTGAGCACACATTCAGGTCAACCTTAATGTATAATTTTGCTTTGTGATTGTGCTGTCTAGTGTAAAAAGTTAAGAATATGGTGCAGAGTTAACAAAACACATTGAACATAAGATCATACAGAATGATTGTTTGTTCCAGTCATTCTATAAGACCATGTGCAATAACTGCAATTTCTGTTCTATCTATTCTGTGATGCTTTGAAGGATTATGTGGTATATGAGACTGAAGGTTTATACTGTCGCATATAAATGATACATGCCCTTCCCATCTCAGCCTCTTTGATTTGATCATCCTAACAATATATGGTGAAGAGTGCAAGTTATGAAGCTCGTCATTATACATTTATTTTAATCACAGGTGAAAAGTGCATGGAGTGGTTACTACGAGTACAACACTTATGACGAGAATGGAATTGTTGGTCCTCATCCATATTACACAAACTTGTATATTGCAACAGGCTTCAGTGGTCATGGTAAGTCCTATGTATTTTATAATGTTTTAAATACTCGGTTAATGTTTCTCTGTATTTCTGTGGTTTTTAACACTGAAGTGAGGTAAATCTCAAATTGAATAATATTAAACAGTTATTTGACTGTATCACTTAACTAGTCATGACATAATGTGAGTTTTATCATACCAAATGTGCAACTAATGTAAATAACTTAGATTGTGGTGTTCTGGTTTGTGAAGAATATACAAGGTGATTTAAAGCTTTAGTACAGTACTGAAGAGGAAGATGGCTGTTTTCTGTGTTCAAGCACCATTTAGTCTGGTAGAAGTTTACCAAAATTTCAGAGGTCCTTGCTACCTCTATTCATCTGATGATGGAGGCAGGAAAGACCTCTGACAAGTTTGTGAGCTACCAGACTACATGGCACTATAACCCAGAAGACATACTCACTGCTGTGAGAACCTCAAATCCTACAGTTTTCTTCAGCTTCTAATATTATCTTGAGTTTATATTTTGATATAAAGGTTTTAGACCTTGGTAATAAATTAAATTAATTAATGTGTCTTGTGTGAAGTTTGTATTCCTACATGTCTCTTTTTAGCCTTCTGCAAGAAAATTCCAATTTGACATTTTTTTTCAGACAGTGGTTCTAATCACTAAACAAATTAAGCCATTTTCATTGAAGTAATTAGGCTGGAACCATAGAAATTTACTGCTGTGTTAATATAGGTTGATTTCTAATGCCCCAGAAAAATCTGTATTAAGAACTAACCAAGCATTGAATCCAGAACTTTCTGAAAGAGAGTCAAGTGTCATTCCATACCCCACATTTAATATTATTGCAGTTATTTATGTTTCCATGTTGCAGGAATTCAACATTCACCGGCTGTTGGTAGAAGCGTCATGGAAATGATTTTGGATGGAGATTTTGAGACCATTGATCTTAAACGAATGAGTTTTGATAGACTTATAACAGATACACCCCTTATAGAACAGAACATTTTTTAGCAAGAGTGTAATTGATACACAATTTATATAACAGTACAGAAAAGATCAGTAATAATATCCAAGTCCTTTGTATTGTAATTTTTCTTCAGTTTCACAAATAGCAATTTCATCATCATAATCATCTTACTTTGTTCATGAAGTCTGTAGAGTGAATATAAATACACTGCATGTAGGTAGTTATACAATTTTGACCTCTTATCAGCTCTCAACCACCCAAGTTCCCATAAATGCAGCCCATATGATCTTTTGTGTGTCGTACAGTTTCTTACATATCACCATCAAATGGGCCAGTACATATCCAGCAGTTTTGCTGTTCATGCTACCTGTACACAGCCACACATAACGCTTATCATGTAGTAGTTCCTGCCCTTCAAGTGTAGTCGCACAGTGTACAGTGAGGCAGAGCCATAATTGAAGGGTCATGGAATCAAAAACAGCAAATACTGTAATATGTTCCTAACCCTGGGATACCTGCAATAACCAAGCTCAAACTGCTTCATGGTAATACACTGAACATTTTTATTGATGATATAATTCAGACATTAATTTGTGTAGATAATTAGAGCAATATTATTGGGAGACAGTCTCACACCCGCACAAATCAATGCAGGTTGTCCACAGAGTGTACAAACACCAGCCACTGAAGATACCATAATTGCTGCAGTGGAATGAGAATCCAAGCATTTATCTGTAACATACTTAATGATGATGAACTATATCCATACCACTATCTACAGAACCAATATCAGGTCCACGAAGATTATCCTCTACAGATGCACTGAACATCATGATTGAGTGATTAACACTCCTGCTTCATATTCTGGAGGTCCCGGGTTCAAATCTCAGTGCAGAGACTGACTATCCTGACTGGGATTTTTCATTATTATCCTCGACCCCTACAGACAAATGCTGATATAGCACCTTAAATTAGGCCATGACCATTTTCTTCCACATCCTTTCCAATTCATTATTCTCTATCATCCTCTCATTCGACACTATATAATCTGAAAAGCGTTATTAAAATAAACTATAAACAAATATCTACAGACGTGAATGGCTGCATCACCACTAGTTATTACATGACTGGAAACTTTTGCTAAGTATTGCCTAATTTATATTTACAGTATACAGTGCAACCAGAATATGGGCAGAATGAGAACATTTTATGACAATGCAAACTGTTAATGTCTTCATAAATTTACTTCAAGTAGCACCACTTTCCAGATGAGTATGAGAGAAAGTATATTTGTATCTGACTAACTCCATGGAGCACAGCCCTTACAGAGAAGATAAGCTCAACAGGTTAAAAAAATTGACTCCTATAGAACCCTAAGATTCATTACCATCTTCACAAAAGACCACCATTAAATGTCAGGCTGACTGATATATGACTCGTATGTAATTATGCCCAAATCATCTTACATTCAGCTTTCATACACCTCTGCACCAATATAACACCCAGAGTTAATACCTGTTCTGCAAAGCTAGATGGTGATTGTACAGAAATACTTTAGTGGAACATTGATTAATTGGTGAAAGACTGTAAGCTAGGAGTTTCAGAAAGAAATATATCCATGCATGCTTTTTAGTAAATGCTGGTTAAAAGAAAAATATATAATTACAATTATAAATGTCCTACACATATAATTCAATTTAGACAATTTGAAATATGTAGTATCCACACATTTGGAGACAATGTGATTTCCACCTATCCTACTTGCGTGTTCCTCACATTTATGTTGTGTATGAGATTTACAATTAAAATCATTCAAATTTAGATTCAGGAGGTAGGTAGGCAGGCAGGCTTGAATGGTGTCATCAGGGCTATTTATTTCTTTGTAGAATCTAATTCTGATGGCAGGTCTTCAGCTGTTTTTTTAAAGTTTATTTGTGGTTTATTTAACAGTGCTGTTAACAGCTCAAAATACAGCATCCAATTACAGGGAAATTGTAAGATAAGAAGGAAATAGTTGCTGCTGAATTTAACCCCTAAGTACCCAGGTATAGTCTGTGAGACACTGATTTGTGACAGTGACTTACATTATTAGTTAAGCAACTGCCTGTGATTCAACCTAATAGCTTATCACCACATAGTAAACTCCTTGTCACTTCATTCAGCCTGTAACTGTTACTGTAAGTGACTTAGTTTCTTCCATTTTACATAAGTAGTCTGAAAGACCAAACCTGAGTACTAATATTCCAGACAAATCATCCTCGTGAAGGTGGGAAGATTTTGCAGTTATTAATGATTATGATGGAATCATGCAGTAGCAGTGAATGTATTCAACATTAACCAGAAATTGAATATTTAATACAGGCGTTATCTATTTTCATTGTACTGGCAAAATTACAAAAACGCGTGTCTTAAAATGCACATGTACCACATTCGACCCATGGTCCACGAATTGGGAAATGCCTGTTGCCTTCCTAAATCATAGATGATAAAAATATTAACTTCTAATCAGGGACCTATGACTTTAATTATGGTATTAATGTAAGCTCGTTTCTTCTCATTTTCAATGTGACTGAAGGCAGTACAACTTTCAGATAGATTTTTCAAATATTTGGAGTTACGTTAGTATTATAATCCGAAAGTATTAGTTGCTATCGCATTCACAGAGTACAAAGCCAAAGAGTCGTACACATTCTTAAAATGCAAAGGCCTTCGGTCTGCCTTCAACCGTGAACTACTTCCGTGCATAGAATAATATCAACATCCTTCCGTGTTAACATTATGAATTTCCAACATCATTATGAGAAGAATACGGTTAAAGATTAAAGTATGTTATTATACGATTATAATGTAGACTGTAGTTATTTCTTCATAAACCTAGTATTATTGAATAATGGAAAATAAGTGACAAAAATGTGCAGGAAATACTTTTAAGGCCAAATTACAGCAATGAAAATTGCATAAGTGCACTCGTAAACAGAATTTTTCATACCACTCAACGAAGGAACCAGTGATTCCTAGTCATTTGAAACGTCATTTGTGTTTGGGAGTGACGTCAAGATTTGGCTGCAATTGCTTATAGAAAAAATGAAAGGAAGTCAAATATGGGCATATGTGAATGGTACAGTTTTTGGAGTTCCGACTGTTTTCATTTGAAGTTCTAATGGTATATATGAACGGTTTTTGTTTCTTCATTCAAGTAGTTATTAACGCTGGATTAAATGGAGAAATTGCTGTTTGTCAACCTTGGGTGTTGTGTGTTTGACAGTGCCTGCAGGGTTGAGAAGAACATGATTTGTTAGCCTTGGCATCAAATAAATACGCCTCCCCAATACCACTTTCTGTGTTTAAATGCAGATTCTCAAAGTAATTAACGTTAGCAGGGTTTATCATCGCAATTCTTTTGTTCCTAGTGATTAAATATTGTTGGAGGACCAGAAAGTGGTTGGGTTAAAGTGAATTATATTGGCTAGTACTTATGTGTATTATTTGATATTAATGCTGGCGTTTCATTTAATCTTGTTCTGAATTTTCAGGTGCACATGCAGCATTTTCAAACAGTTGGTTTGGCGTGCAGACAGTTTACATATTTTATTGTGCTGATGGCATCATTGAGAATAAAATCAGTTATGTAGGTATTCAGAATAAGTAAGTTCCAGGCACAATGGGGCCGGGAGTAAGGAAGAAGTTTAAATCTGGCCATACCTTTTATCTGTTGACATCATACATTCTGTGGCTGCATTTGATTACTGAAACCAGTGCTGCCCTTCAGCTAACACCATGCTATAAATCCCGCAAAGTGTTTAATAATTCTTGGGGTATTATTACGGATGGACCTTCAGGATCAAATTATACTCAAGACTCACACTGTGAATGGCTAATCAAAGGTAATACATGTATTTTTTCTGTTTTATGACATATATAAGAATGATGTGCATAATTATTATATTTATGAAATCCATACTGCATTTCTGATACTCTAAAATAACTACATGGAAATTAATGCTGTCATTAATGTAAATGTTGTGAGAGAATTGTGGATATGTACCATTTTTAATTGTTTTCACACAATGACCCATATTTCCAAATTAACATAGAGCACATTATTCTAATCTAGTACATGTTTGCATATATGTAGTACTGCTGACTGTAAACAAACATTTGTTGCACTTGAGAAGCATAGTACAGATTTATATTATACATTTTGTGACATAAGTAATAAATGTACAAGTAACCATTTAGTTTGTGGTGTAAAGTGTATGAGAACATAGTCTTATTCATGTTCTTTACTCATTGGGAAAAGCATGTTATGACTTCTGAGTGATGTGGCTGTCTCTTTTTTAGGTCTTCCTATAATTCTCCAGCCCTTTGTTCTGCATTGTAGAGTTTTCAGTTTTGAGGTTCTGTAGAGTAGGACTAGGTTTTGTGTACTTCTTGAATGCAGTGGAACAGTGGCTGTCTTTTGCAGAAAAAATTCCAGATTCAGCAGGTACAAGTAACTTCCACCCTGTTCACCTGCACATGCATTTGCATGAATAAGTATTTAGTGCCATAAGAAATGTCAATGTGGATGTCTTGAAGTCAGAAATGTTTCACAGTGTTTCCTTCATTCTCATGTCATAAGTAAACTACATAAACTATAATATCCTAACTGAAACTAACCTAACCTAAGCTGATTGGAGGGTAATATTAAAACATCTTGAGGAAGTATGGTTTGTAAATGTCAACCGGATTCATCAGGCTCAGGATAGGGGTTGGTGGCAGGATTTTGTAAACACAGTAATGAAGTTTTGGGTTCCATGATAAGTGAAATCTTTCTTGACTGCCTGAGTGACAGCTTCTTGAGAAGGTTTGTGCTGCATGAAGCTAGTTAATTAGCATTTACATGTTTGTACAAAGCATTAGTAGACAAATCAGGCAGTATGAGGAATCCCATTGTTCTTTGTGGAATGTTTGTAAATAAATGCTTCATTTGCCATACCATGGCCTACTTTAACTTGCAAAATTAGCAACCAGCAATGATAAGATTGCAATTATGGGGTCTACATAATTAAATGTTGCCCATCAGCATAGTGAGGTTTCTTTAAATTGTCCTATACCATCAAAAATTAATTGTTCTTCATAACCAGCTTGCCATCCAACTGCCCAGTCAACTCTCTGTTGTGCATTGCCACAAGTTCTGCATCATGGACACAATATCCTGCCACTATATTGTGTTCTGAGCCATCTTGGTCCACTATCATTTATAACAGATTGTTTCCATGAGGTTTATTTCAGTGTTATTCTTATAGCTCCATCTTTGTTCCCCAAGTAACCGCCTTCTAAGAAGTGTTGTACAATAATTCATTATGTGTATTTTGTGGCCTTTTGAAATTACTGTGTGTAAACTTATATGTATTATGTTTTATTTCAGCTGTAAACAGCAGCCAGTTCATTACATTGAAATTCCATACAATGAGTACAGAATGCTCATATGACTATGTGTTTGTTTATGATGGTGATTCATTTGAATCACCACTCATTGGGAGCTTCAGTGGCAAGTCTCAACCACAGCAGGTTACTGCAACATCAGGAGCTGTAAGTTAACATTTGAATTTGTATTTGTTAAATGATTAATGATTTTAAGTGTGCTGATATAAAGTCATCTTTCGTACTGTTTTTTTATCGGTGCTGAGAACATTTGGACCCAAGAGGGTTGAAATGACTGGAGACTGGACAAAACTGTACGATGTTCTCTTCATCAGATCTTATTAGTATGATTAAATCAATTGGGATGAGATTGGCAGGGCATGTAACATTTCTGGGTTAGGTGACAAATTTAAACAAATTTATGATCAGAAAATCTGAAGAGAAGAGACTATTTGGAGAACTTGGTCAGAGATGGAAGCATAATATTGAAACAGATTTTACGGAGGTAGGGATGATGTGGACTGGTTTCATGTAGCTAAGATTAGGGACCTGTGGTAGGCTCTTGTGAGCACAGTGATAAACTTCTTGAATAACTGAGTAGTTGATAGTTTCTCAAGAGGCACTCTGCTCCATGTACTTATAATTAATTAGTGTACTCAAATGTGTGTGTTTAAAATGAAAATGTAGTTTATTGTAATTCTTCAGTTCTGCATGTTTTATGTTCTATTTAGATCCCCCCCCCCTTATAAACTTATATAATAAATTACAACATATTCCATGTATACCTGCTGCCTGAATACAAGTATTCATATACACGTGCATATTTTTGTGAATTAACTGAATTTAGATTTACCAAACTGTCTATTAATTGACAGGGTCTGACTGTATTTGCAAACAATAAAACAAACATGTTGTGCTTATGTATTCTGTGTATCACTTATTTATTTGTTATTACAGATGCTGTTATTGCTGTACAGTGACACAAATTATGTACTGGATGGTTTTCGAGCTGAATTCTTTGTTACCAACTGTCCAAACAACTGTTCAGATCATGGAATGTGCTCACCACTGCATAAATGTTACTGTGAGGGAACATGGGGAGGTCATGACTGTGGATTAGATTTGTGTCCAGAAGGCTGTGGCAAGGATTTACATAGGGGTGAATGTAAAATGAACAGATGCCGTTGTGAACCTGGATATTCAGGTCAAGCATGCAGTCTCTACAGAGCTGATCAGTCTGGAAACAAGTGAGTTATGATAATATTATACTGTGTCTTGAGTCGTCCTAATAAAAGCTCTACAATAAGGCCACATCTGTGCTAGCATGCAGTATGCACACTTCTCATTGGGTTAGATTTGAGGTTTTCACAGCGGTGAGTATGAAGATTTCTGTCTTCTAGGTTGTTGCGCTGTGTAGTCTGGTCAATGTTAACCAACGTTTCAGACAACCCCTTGTTTTCGATGTCTTATGTTGAAAATGTGATACCATTTGCTTTGCTGTAAGTTGTCATTTGTGAGATTCGAGGTTCTTGGGTGGTCTTCTGGGTTATAATGCATGTGAAATTGTAGACTGATACTGTCATTTCAGAGAAAAGCGCCTTTAAGGTGGTGACAGAATGTTTCTTGAAAGAACTATTATCTGCATAGCGTTCAAACACAGTAGACCAACATTGACAGGTTGTGAATTACCTGCTGTCGTAAGTAAGTGGATGTATGCTTCCTGCTTTGGTATTATTGTGTTATGAATTTTCATATTTTATTTATTGTTTGACAACTTTATATTTTGTTACAATTTATGTTTGTGTTTAATTGTTTAAATTGGTAAGGCATGCTTTTTTGGGTCATATAGAGCCAGGCTGAAATATAGACAACACTGAGCCAAATCTAATTTTAAATCTTAGGGGACAGTGACTAAAATTGATGGCGACAGCTGCAACAGTGAGCAGAAACAAATGCCTCAGTAAGACTGAGACAGTATATTGTTACGTTAACAATTTTTGTAGTAAAACGGTAAGTATGGAGTATATGGTTTAGTAATCTGGTCAATAATTGTTTCATGCTTGAATTAAACGAAAAGTAATAGATTTAAAATAATTGTATGGTATGTTGCTTTTCTAGATTTTTTCTGACCAGACTACACTTACATTTTCATGTCTCTCCCATCTGTGCCACATTTCCAAGCTGATGATAACGTCTTTGATATCTCACAGAAACAAAGTAAGCCTGCATGGGACATGAGAAATGAATGCAAAATTTTTTCAGAAGACATAAAGGGAAGACACCATGTATAAGGTCTAGACATTGATGGGAGAATAATGTTAAAATGGATCTTAAAGAAATAGTATGTGAGAATGTGGACTGGATTCATCTGGTTCAAGATAGGGTCTGCTGGCAGGCTCTTGTGATTTGTGTGGTGGTTCTTAGGACCCTATGAGCTATGAGTGCTTAATTTATTTCAGCTGAAAAATGTTTGATTGAATTATTATATTTGATGTTAACAGATGGCACTGGTTATCTCATTCAGATGGAGGCCTCACACCTCGTGCAGCCCATACAGCTGTATATCATAAAGAGACAGACTCTCTCTTTGTGTTTGGTGGTTATAATTTGAACAAGGTGTTGGGTGATCTTGAAGTTTATCGTTTTGCAACAAGCCACTGGGAAGATCAGCATGGAAATGAGTTAGGTATGCTAAGCAACACCTAATATGTGGTTTGACTTGATGCCATGTTTTGTGATTTTAGTTCTTGAAATAGGAAAGCATAAGTTGGCATTTTCTCTGTTTTTGTCGTACAGGAAATGTTTATGCAAAATTTGAAACCATAGTTCACAAATGGATGTTTTGTAGAAGCGAATATTTATCTGTGCTGCCTTTTTTATTTTGGTTTTGTGATGAAAGTAATTGTTATGGAAGTTGTGTATTTGTTTTATAAATTTACCACTGTAAAATATTAAAAATTCTTGTTGATTGATGCTGGATCTGGCTCATGTTAAACATTCATTGATAGTCACTTGAATGTTATTTTTAAAGTATTTAAAATATGTTTCCCAATGGTTTAGACACTGCTTTTTCAGTCATGCAAGGATTTAAAGTATACAGTGTAGGACTAACCCTCTGTGGCGTAACTTTCATCCATAGTTTTAAGACAGTCATTCTGTAGGCCCAAAAGTTAAGCTTTGACTGGACAAACAAATGAGCACCATGATGCGGCCTGTACATAGATAGATCTTTCTGGCCTCCATCGAGAAACATATAGGAAGTCCATTTATTTGTTTTCATGATGAGGTTTGCACTTTTGGAGACAGGATCAGTTTATGCTTGCACATGCACACATTTTACTTAAAATAGATCTGGTAACAATTAATATGAAGTGAAACTGTAGGTTACAGTTACCACGTAAATTTTATTATGTATCAAATAGTTATCCTCCACCATTTGGCTGTGTTATCTTCAAAAGGGAGTTTAATGTTTAAATATCACATGCAACTGAAGTCAAAATGTTTATTGTTTTTGTTCTGGCATTTATATATGGATTTCAATGTCTATTATTGTTTCAGCTGGAACAGATGGTATAGGACAACCAGATCATCAGATAATTGCTGCAGTGTTAGGGCAAGG